GTAAAACACGAACACGAAAATAGAAAAGTTCTAAAATAGCGGCTCCTGGAAACTCTCTCCTTGCTCTTTCTTGAATTGTTTCCATGTTCACATGTGCACACATTTGTAACTTTTCTTGGTTTGAAAGTCAGAGCTTGTATTTGACTCGCGCCCTGGTTTGCCACAAAACCATAACATCATTTATTGAGCGGCGCGGGGTGCGGTCTGTTCATTTCACGTTTGCACCGCCAATTAAGTGAGTTCCATATCATATAACCGTGATATCCTCGCGAGTATAATGCGAGTATTTTCTTTCTCCGATCAAAGGTCGACGCAAAAAGAGTTGTGTTACGCCAGGGGTCGGCAACGGCCTAGAGAGAGGACGGGGCAGGGCTCGAGACCCCCCTTCTTGCCCCCTTCCACTGTTTACCCCCACCACCTAACCTGCAGCTCCGCCGGTGACCGGTGTTTGAATACAAGTTTTGAAAAATATTGGACATAATTTGACAAAACCAATGTGTTTTCGTTAACTTCAGTCACTACAGATCTTAAAAATAAACCCCACAGCACTCTCATACACAATTATAAACGATAAATCACAAAAACAAAGGCACGAAATGGCCCGTCCGACGCGCAACATATTTGGGGGAATCTTATGTGCGAAAACAAAACAATGGTTTCGGAAACGGCCTGGAATTATCGACGCCCAAAGGTTTGAAGTGTGCAGAAGTCATATTACTTACCTCGACAAGCTTCACATTGATTTACAAACAAATAGTTTCTTTCACATCACTCGCTGGACGCCAAGCAGCCGACGCCGCGCGACTTCGCTGCGGCACGGCTCGGCCAGCGTTATTCGCAGTCAGAACTGCGAATAGCCAACTGCAGCGCCGTCGGCTGCTAGGCGTCCAGCGAGTAATGTGAAAGAAACTATTTGTTTGTAAATCAATGTGAAGCTTGTCGAGGTAAGTAATATGACTACTGCACACTTCAAACCTTTGGGCGTCGATGATTCCACACCGTTTCCGAAACCATTGTTTTGTTTTCGCACATAAGATTCCCCCAAATATGTTGCGCGTCGGACGGGCCATTTCGTGACTTTGTTTTTGTGATTTATCGTATATAATTGTGTATGAGAGTGCTGTGGGGTATATTTTTAAGATCTGTAGTGACTGAAGTTCACGAAAACAAGTTGGTTTTGTCAAATTATGTCCATTATTTTTTAAAACTTGTATTCAAACACCGGTCAGCGGCGGAGCTGCAGGTTAGGTGGTGGGGGTAAACAGTGGAAGGGGGCAAGAAGGGGGGTCTCGAGCCCTGCCCCGTCCTCTCTCTAGGCCGTTGCCGACCCCTGGCTACGCACATCAGAAAGGAAGTGCAACGGGGCAGGAGCAGAGGGACAGAGAGGTGCAGAGAGGGGCGGCGGGGGAGGCGGGTGAGTTCAGTAAAAAGACTGCGGCGGGATTACCCCCCACTGTGAAGGGCGCGCGCGCTTCATACT